GCGTTATTTAGAAGAGGTATTTCCCGGACGATAGATTGGTAGACGAGGTAGAATTGAATGGCCTCCACGTTCACCTGATTTTATTCCTAAACATTATTTTTATTGGGGATACTTGAAAAATTCAGTTTCCAAAATTAAACCAGCAAGTTTTGCAGAACTAAGGCAACGAAATATCAATGAATTTCTAGGCAATCATGGAAAAATGTGATAGATGTATTTACCATCGATTAGGGTACTGTCAGCTCACATGAAGCACATTTTGAACACTTGATAAGGTGAACATTATGTTAAAAAATGTTGTAATCTATCAATTATTATATTTTATTGTAGTTAAAAATAGTTAGTATTAAAAAAATTATTGAGGGAATTAGGAGTTGCCATACTTTATGTTTTATGTATATCAGATCTTCCAAACTACATAAAATCATAATTGTTATTTATGGTTGAACTCGTATTGAATAGGAGATTCCAATAATGACTGAATATACAGGGTGATGAATTTGAAAAACCAAAGTTACTAATAATATAAGAGAAACTGCAAATTTGGCAACATTGCAAATATTAAATATGGAATCTTCGTATCCCAAAATAGGTGTAGCTTAAATTTTGTACAATTATAACTAGCAATTTACGAGATAATAGGCCGTTTCCAGATTTTTGGGCCACTCTGTATATATCCCTATTGGAGAGTTATTATATTTGTTTGTCCCAGAGACCAATTTTTGCAATAACAATAGTCAGAAAATAATAAGGATACGGTAATTCTACGCATACCAAATTTTAAGAGTTAAACTATCAATAGTATCCGTCGTGATTAATCACAAATCGAATAAGACTTCATGAGATCCAATTGGCCAATTTCTTTTCGAGAAAGTTTAATTGTTTATAAAAATTCTTTAATTTCTTATAATTTTAAAGGACTAGAACAAAATTTTATGTTGGAATAAAGATATTTGCTCAAAAATGTTTCAATCCTATATGTATTACTTTAAAGTAGGAGCGATTTTTATGTTATAAGTTAATTAGGCTACAGAAGAACGAAAATTTTGGAAAAGTGGCGATTTATTTCTCAATATAGTCTCCTTTTAGGTCGATACACTTGACCCAGCTATCCTCCAACTTCTTTAACCCATCTGAAAAATACATTTTTTCAGTAATTTCTCAATATTCAGCCGTGGCGGCAACGTGCCTCCTCATTCGACTTAAATTTCGGCCCAGCGAGTGCCTTTTTCGAGTTTGGAAACAAAAAGAAGTCGCACAGGGAAACAGTTCGTAGCCCAATTCTTTTTTCTTCTTTCTTGAATAAACTTTTTTTGAGCATATTTTCCATTTATTATTTTACACCCCACCCTTTAATTGAGCATTCTATTCTTCAATTCAAAAATATTTATTATTGCATGCACTAAATACATGTTTTTAGTATTTATATATTTTATATATAATATATTTATATATTTTATATTTTATATATAATATATAAAAAAATTTGTCATATGTAGACCTATTATAACTTTATCACCGGCAACACGTAAGTTGTTTAGATATTCTCCATCTACTTTGATTACCTGTGTCAGACGAACCACATTCTTAAAAGCATGTTCCTGCACGGTATTAAAAAGTTTAGGTGACATTGGGTTTTCTTGTCTAACCCACCGCTCAATTTTTATGTGATTACTATTACTATGTAATTTGATGTTATAAAGAAATTAGTATGTAATTTATATAATTCAGGAGTGCTATAGCTTAAGTAGTAACATTACAGTATAGCTTAAGAAAGTCCTAGTAACAAAGTAGACAATATCTATCATTTTGACTTTTGAGTAAAACGCAAAACAAAGATATGTCTTTATTTTAGGTGATATCGAAACAAATATAGTTTAATTTATAATACAATCGCAAATGACAGCAAAAAGTGAAGAAACTTTACCTAAATTATTACGGGTTTTTTTAACTGAAAAAAAGTAATGGAGAATGCCGGTTAGAGAAAAACTAATAAGAAAGTGGGATATCGAGCTTAAAGGAAAAAAAATTCTTCTGCTTGTAGACAATTGTCCTGCTCATCCTGTGCTGTGCGACCTTCAAAACATTAAACTTTGTTTTCTGCCAGTAAACACAACAAGTGTCCTTCAGTCGATTGACTAAAATGTCATTAAGAGTTTGAAAAGCCATTACCGGAGAAGACTTCCGATGGAATTGGTTGAGAACAATGGCGATCTAAACATTCTTGATGCTATCCTAATGATTAGTAAATCCTGGGAGAAGGTGACGAACAATAAAATAAAACATTTCTTCAAACACGCAGAATGGCTTTAAGATCAAGGATTGACTGTTGATGAAGACAAACTACCATTAGATGGTTGGGCCAGGCAATTTAAACTTACTGTCATCTACAGACCGGAAGAACTAACATATTTTGAAGAATTTAATGAAAATGTAACTACAACATCCTACAAGCAGTTGGTGTAGAAGAAGAAGAAAACAATGACCCGGAACTGGAAGCAGAGTCAGAACCAGCTTCGACCACTCAGCAGGCATTAGATGCGGTAAAAGTACTGCATTGCTTCTTCATCGACCAGGAAGACAATATGAGTTATGTGGAAGATTCTATGCGTCTTAAGGACAAGGTCAGGTCAGTTCTGTGGAAAGGGAAAAGGAAACAGACCAAGGTGATACAGTTTTTTGGTAATGTAGGCTAAATATATTTTACAGTAGCATATTATTTTGTTATTGTGCAGTGTACATGTTTTAATTATATAGTCATTCTTTATACTGTATTGTCTTTAATAAATCTATGTAGGGTACAATACAGTGGTCATTCATTTATATTGGTTTTGATAATTTTTTTAAATTAAAATAGGTTGTTTTCAATATAGTATTACTAATACACATATTACAGTACGGAATTTTGTTCCTCTCTCTGTATAACGATCTCTCCTTATAATGATAAAAATTCCCGGACCCTTGCATATCGTTATAGAGAAAGAGGACTGTATATGTGAGGCAATGTTTCGTAATATTTAGTATGTTTAAAAAGGCTTTTTGGCACCCAGGAATATTTTGCTTCATTACACTATTCCTTACAAAGCATTCCACAGACGTTGTTTTGGCTTTATGTCTAGTTTTTTGGACGGCAACCTTTAGGTAGTTGAACTGTTCCAAATTTTAGAATAAAAGAATCTTGCCTAATTTGTCCTTAGCTGCATAAAACGCATCATAAAAACACTTAATATCCCTCATTGTTCGAGAGGAACATTGATAGGCGTTCGTTGTGTGACAGCAAGTAGGGAATTGTGGTAAGTGTGATGCAGAATACCTGAATAGATAACATTTTTCAAAAAATATTTGTAATACTGAAGTTATAAAAATTACCAATAGCTTGAACAAATCATTAGTTTTTTATATCATATGAAATAGTTTTAATAATAAAATAAATCATAAAAATGATATGCATAAAATGTTAATCTGGATCTGCTCTTAAATCTAATATTTCGAGTAAAACTACAACTAAAATTTTAAAGAACGAACCTCATTTTGTTATGCAGATTTTGCCAACATGTGAACGGATTACAAATTCGTTTTTGTTGTTTTCAGCAGGAGTTGTAAGAGATTCCATTTTAAAATACTAACAAAATAAAAAAAACAAACAGCTTGGCACCTTGGTTGGCCAAGATGCTGAAGCACCTTGGCCCAGCCGACTCCTAGTGGTATATCACATGGTGCCTGCGAGGATTCTCATTGGTCAAAGAGGGCATTGCCGACTTTGATTCTAAACCGTTCATGTAGATTGCCGCGTTTGACTCTTAGGCTAAATTTATATGATATTTTATAGACGTATAATTCTGCTTTTGATTCCTATTGTCTTTTTTTTGTATAGTGTTTTAAAATACGAATAATTTGATGTAACTTACTCAATTTTGTTAAAAAGTGAAGATTACCAACTTTGTTACTAGGACTCTCAATTAGTAATAAGGGGTTGAAAAACTATTTGAGCAATTATTTTTATTCCTACATAAAAATATAATTAGCCAACAAGAGAATTCGTTTAAAATTAAATCTCTATTTTCTTCTGAGAAAAAATTTTGGCGCTGTAAAATTTATAAAAAGTGAAGTGAGGGAAGTGAATCTTTATATTAAAAGTATATTTTGACCGGTCTGATCTGAAGAAGTCTCATTCGATTTGTAATTAAAAGAACTGCAATATTATGTTTTTGTATAAAAAAAGAAGTTTTAAAAAAGTTACTTCAAACATTAAAAATGGCGAAAAATTTAGATTTTTGGAATTTCAATCGGTAATTTTTGATAAACTATTTGGTAAAATTTATTATACTTTCATTTAATATTGAGCTTATTTGCTTATTTTACCCTGAGATATATATTCATAGGTACAAAAAAATCAAAATTACAAAAAACACCGTTTTTTTCACATAAAAGGAAATAAAAAAATTATAGCCAACAGTTTGGAGTTGCATACACTTGGAAGTTACTCGTAGCATTGCGCTTCATAACACTCTGTTTGTTTCAAAAATTCACTAATTAATGCTCAAAATCATTCATTTTATTTCTACAGCTTGGACTAAATAAATAATATAATGTGTTCCTTTTGCATACACAACTCTTTCTGTTAGATCTTCATTCTTCGGTAATTACAAAGTAACAAAAAATAAGCGTCCGAATTTTTTGGACAACCGTCTATCCCTTGTCCCACATCTCGGTCCTCCGATTATGTAAATACCATCGAACGCTTATTACCTTCTGTGCAAATAGTCTCATGCAAAATTTATTTATTTAGGTAAGTATGCGCAGTCAATGTTGTGTACGTAATAATCTACTATATTCTCAACAATCGGTAATATTACTTTCGATTTCAGTTAATTGAGGTTAACATCTCAAAAACCGAAAGTTGTAGATTATTTCATACTATGCAAGAACATTTGACACACTGAAACAGTTATACCGAAGTACCGACACCGTCGATATCAAAACATCGCGCCAGAGACATTTGATTACTCGCGAGGTACCACTATTACTTTACATTTCCCTACTTTCAAACCATTCGTTTATTTCTAGTGGTAACTCGACTCTCTTCCACTAATGACTCTCTTGTGAAGTTGTTTTTGTTGATAGTGTTATTTTAAGTGGTGCTCTTAATTCAGGATTTTTTTTTATCTCATCACTGAAGTCTGAAATGGTTTAGCGATAAATGGATTTTAGATGATTCAAGTTTGCTTAAGTATATCTATTCTACTGCGAATATAAAATCAGCCGAAGAGTAAAAGTAAGTATAGTTGTATTTGACCTTATTATCAGCGCACTTTCCATTATTATGAACTGTTGTTTAAGGTAATTATTTTGTTTGCATTGTGAATTTTGTAATGTAATAATTTACTTGAGCTGGTACAGAACAGGTGTCATTTTACTATGCGCTGTATAGCCTTGTATGTCTTTTTTATAAAGCTATTTTTGAATTAATTGCTACCGAGATATTTAAATCTTGTTGCAACTTAACCACATAACTATAACAAATACCACAGCCCATAACTATTACCACAGAAATTCTTGCAATGATTCTAAAGGTTTGGCTGGTATTGCATTATTATCTGCGTACTTGTGTGTATATGTGTGTATATTGGCATTAGGCAGAAGCCTACTAGCCACAGAATGATACAAATTCAAATCACAATTCAAATTTTGCTTGTACTACAAAGTTAACTTATAAACCATAAACATTTCTATTCAAACAAGCGGGAAGAATTCAAACATTGACTGGTTGAGGAAACTTTAGTTGTATCAATGAGGACATAAATGATTATTTCATTATCATATTTAGGAGATTAAAAGAACATATGACTTAAATCTAAGAACACCTTATTATCACAAGAACTGTTAGGCGAGTCTACAATTATAATTTTATATAAATGTGCGGGAAAATGTCCATATAATCCAGTTTAAATCTTATATTAGACTTGTAGAATGTGTCAACTGCCATTGGCAATAAAATATTATATATTTTTTATGATTTTTCAAAAACTTTGAGTGATTTAAATGTAACTCGCCAGGGTATTGCACCTGCAGCATGTGGATTTTTAGCTTTTGAATTAGATTTACAGATTTGATTTTTACAGTTTTGGTGCAAAATTATAAACAGTATTTTATTATACATACAGTGGACGGCTAAATTATGGAATATTATCATTATTTCGAGAACGAAAATGATTTTTACCTGCAGCACCTAATTAGCTAAAGAGTGGTAACTTCATTTTACTTTTAAATATTATATTTCAATCTTAATCTATTTATTAATGTTACCTAAAGTTAAAATTAAATTTAACTAATAGTATACTGTTGGAAGTGCATCTTATGATCTTTTTGGTTCTCTGCATATTAATATTATTGTTTTTTACTTAAGTTTTTTACATAATTTTTTTTTATCTACATGTACAATTATCACATGGTCTTTTGATGTGCTAAGTTTGTTAATTTGTAAACTATATCTAGTTTCAATTAATTGTTTATAAATGATCTTATAATGTCCATTGTCGTGGACTTACTGTCCACAACACGATGGTCCACTGTCACTTCTTTACATATTTAATATCATTGACTGCTACATGTCTTTTTGAGATAAACTGATCATGCTTTCATCAATAAATAGATGAAGTAGCCACTTTCTTTGTCTTTTTTCTCCAACTTTTGAACGAAAAACCTACCACTCTTTGATTGATCCTTAATTTTATGTATATATATATATATATATATATATATATATATATATATATATACATTTAGGGATTCTACAGTATTCACTGCCTTCCCTCGCTCGAACTGTTTCCATCTTTCTTCTTTATCGTTTAGGCCTCTCTTACTCATGGCGTCGTTTACTTCGTTCCTCCAGGATCCTCGGTCGTCCTCTTTTCCTCCTTCCTATGGGGCTCCATTCGGTTATTCTCTTTATATATCTGCTGTAGCTAGTTCTTCTTACTTGGCCATACCACTTCAGGCTTTTTTGTTCTATATATGTTAGTATGTCTGTTTCTATTGATGTTCTTTGCTTTAGTTCGTCATTACCTCTCCTATCCAATTTTGTTATTCTGCAGCATCTTCGCAGGCATTTCATCTCTGTTGCTACTATCTTACTGCTGTTTTTCTTGTTTATAATCTAATTTTCAGCCCATATGTCATAATACTTTGCACTAATGTTTTATAAATTTGTGTTTTTGTCTTCATATTTAGGTGTCTATCCCACCATACTGAGTTAAGTTGTCGGATTGCTATTCTTGTTTGTCCTAATCTTTCCATAATTTCTTTCTCTGTTGTTGCCTTTTTCGTGATTATAAACACCAAGTATTTGAATTTATCCTTTTCTTTGATTGTTATGTTGTCATCAATCTGTAGATCTTCTATGTCTTCTTCACTTGTAGATAGGTACTGTGTTTTGGCAAGGTTAATATCTACAACAGCCTTGGTATATTCTTCTTATAGTTTCTTCGCCATGTCGCTAGTCGGTCTTGTGCAATCACTACTTGGTCGTCTGCAAAGCTTCGTTCGTTCGTTCTGTACCAGTTCTCCCATGCCTTCGCATTTTCTTTTTCATGTAGTCAATGCTTTCTCTATTTTGAATAGGGTTGGAGATGTGGAACAACCCTTTAGGAGCCCTTTTGTTGTGGTGAAGTCTCCTATAATTCTTGTTCCCACTTTAATGGACACCTTATTTTCTTTATAGAGAGCTTTTGTAACTTCTATGAGTTCCGTCTGTATTTCTAATTTGTACATTGCCTCCCATAGTTCTGATCTTGGTACAGGCTCATACGCCTTTCTCGCTTCCACAAATGCCAAATGTGTATTTCTATTTTTTATTTTTTGTTTTTTTCTTTTTCAACAGTTGTTCCAGTGGGTAAATGTGGTCTATGCATGATCTTCCTGTCGTGAAGCCTGCCTGATCCTCCCGAGTTTGCCTTTTATCGCTTGCTCTCTTTCTTTGTTATTGCTATCTTTTCTCGCAGTATCTTCCCATCTAATCTTCCTATTAATGATATTACACTTATTCCTCTGTAGTTTTAGCATCATTTTCTATCTCCTTTTTTAAATATAGATGTCATATCATTCATTTGGGAGCTGTTCTTCATTTATGGCTTTTTCAAATATCCATTGTATCATCCGGTGTAATTTTTTTGAGCCGTATTTTATAAGCTCAGGTGAGATGCCTCCAGGTCTCGGTGCTTTCTTACTTTTGATTACTTCTATGCTCTTTTATTGGTCATTTCCCTATCTGTTATTTCTATTTCTTGTTGTAGGGATCTGTTTCGTCTTCGCCTGTTTTCGTTTCCAATTAATTATGGTCTTTGTTCTGTTAACAGTTTCTTGGTAGTCCTTCCATTCTTTGTCCTGTATATTTCCCAATTTAATTTTTTTCTTTTAAGTGTTGTTTCAATCCTCTCAGTACTTTCCATGACTCCAAAGTTCTTGTACCTCCTATGTATGTTTCAATATTTAACCAAGTTTAAAACAAGTATGTCACCAATTCGCCACAGCGATTAAGCCCAAGCAGCACAGATTGGAATCTTGAATGAGGAAGGATATACACAAAAAAATATTGCACGACGTCTCAAGAGAAGTTAATGTACAGTTTTGAATACTTTTAGAAAGTATCACGATTCAGGAAATTTTGTACGAAGACTAGGCCTTTAAGATGCCTAAGTTGATGACTGTTTTTTTGGTTCCTAATTCTACACGAAATCGCTCATTTGCATAGATGCACCTCAAAAATGAATTACTAAATGTTAGATAAGTTATTGTGAGTTTCGTAGACAGTTAGGAGAAGATTTAAAGAAGCAAACCTAAAACATTAACGCCCTGTCAAATTCCATGTCTTTTCCAAAATTATAAAGCTCGTCGTTTAGATTTTGCAAAAACACAAATTCAGTGTAATATTAACAACTGGAAAAATGTTCTTTTTAGAGATGAGACCATAATCCTATTATGGAAGCCAGATGGTCTAAAGAAGAGTTGGAAAACGGTTTACACCTGCGATCTCGCCCAGTATTAGTTAGAAGGGACTCACCACACTTGTGGAAGTGAATTATTGATAACTCGTTCAAAACATTCTGCAAGATCATGTTTTTGCCATATGTTGGTTACATTGGATAAGACAAATTCGTGCACGATAATGCTAAACCACATGATACTGCCATAGTGAGTAATTATCTTGAAGAGGTCTAAATTCAAAGATTGGATTGGCCACCATTTAGCCCGCATTTAAATCCAATAGAGCACATGCGAGATCAGCCAAAATCCCTCATACGACAAAGAAAACTCATTCCAAATACGATAGAACAGCTTCGGCTTGTTGCACAGGATGAATGGAATGCAATTCCTCAAGGAAATGTCCAAAATTTACTTGCAAGCATTTACTTAAGCAGAGAACGATGCAAGCAGTAATAAGAACTAAAGGGGGGAATACTCGTTACTTTTTTTTATTTCAATTAACGTGTCTCGACTACAAGGTCATTGACACGATGACAGTATAATACAATATAAGGTATATACAGTTTTACATTTGACAATACACAGTACAAAACAGACACATAAATTACAAATTTAATTTAAATTTACATAATACTTGTTACTGATTATGCATTTATTTCAGTTAAAAAGACTTGTTTATGCAATTTAAATTAGCATTTCAGTTTAAAGTAACAAATAACCTTATTTACCTAACATTAAGCATTTTTTTTTCTCAAATTTTCTCCGCAAGAAGACTTAACATTTTTCATTAAACATTGTTTACAATAAACGAGTTAATTGACATGAAAATTTCAAAATATTGGATATTTTTGTCCCTAAGTGTATGTTGTATTAAGAAATACTGCCTTTTAAACTAATACTTAAAACTACTTTTGTTGAGGCTATCTTTATTTAAAATAGTTTCTTCTTGCGTCGACTCTTCTACGTACTATCTGCTCTCTAATACCAATGTGTTTGAGATTTTAAAAATTCTATTTTTTATATTGTATAAATAAAAATATTAATTCGAGTTCAAGATTACATGCTTACAGCACGTTTGGGACGACTTTACTCTTCAGTACTTTGGCTTTAAAAAGTATATATTGATAGTATAGAACTATATAAAGAAAACTTTGAGTAAAATGGTATAAAATTTATTAAAGATTTTGAAAGATATCCAAAATGGATTTAAAAATTTTCAAAAGGCTTTTAGTGCTAATGAATCATCTCAGTAAAAAACGTATATACATTACTTGAAACTAGCCACATAACGAC